TAATGTTTTAATTGAATATTCAACTGAAGTTAGTGTTAAATTCTTATTGACTAATTTCAATGAAGGAAATCCAACACTTTTTGGTTAAAAATTAAAAGTAATTTAAATAATTAATCTAGGTGTATCCTTCTAATTATGAATTTATTTTCTTTAGAAATTGTGAAGAAGGTTAATTACCAAAGAATACAGAAGAGGAAGAGTTTTATTTAGGAAATGAGGCATCATTTAGATATAAAGATAATAATTTCAAATATTTGGTATCACCTTCTTAATAAATTATGTTAACAAATTTAAAAAAGGAATTCTGTGAAGAAGGTATTATTTATGATACTTTTTCTAAATTTGGATAAATAGAGAAAATTAAGTAATTAATTATATTTAATATACATTTTAGAATATTTTGTGAAGAAAAAAATAAAAACAAATGTCTCATCCGTTATTAAGAGTTAGATTCAGCTATGTAGGCAATGGCAATTATGCATAATTACGAGTATAACAAAAGGAAAATTTAGATTTTTTTTTCAAAAAATAAAACTTGAGTTTTTCTTATTATTTAATGAATTATTCAATTTTGAAATAAATTACATTTCTTTTTGTAAGATCATTTTATTAATGATATCAATAATATCAAAATATTTAAGTGATTGAATATTTAACTTAAAATTAATTTATTAATATTATATCACTAACTATTCTTTTGAGGATAGAAATTTTAACAATTAAGTTAAATATAATTCTTATTTGATTTATATCAATTATTTAACTATAAGTAATAGATTAATTGAATATATATCTAGAATTTATATTTAATAGTAATATAATATCTCATAAATTAATTTCATATTAAACTAAATATATATATATTTATATTAATTTTAAGATCATAAATTATTAATTTTTTATAATTATATATAATGTGAATCTAATTTATTTCTAATATATTAACCAAATAAATTTTTACAATATCTAAAAATTTAATATACCTTTATAAACATATTATAATTTATATATTTCAACTCAATTTACCCATCTCATACTTTTTAAGTAATGCAACAACTGATTTATGAATCATTCCATCAACTATACTAGCAATTGTAAATACTCCTCCAAGAATAGCACATATCTACACTAAAAAATGCAAAAAGCTTTCTCTATATTACAAGAATTTAACAGTTACTGGAGATAGATCATACCTAATTATTCTAATTATTATACCTAAAATAAACTGCTGGAAGATGATCAGTTTATACTTCATTACTATTGGCAGTAAATTGATGCACATAATATTCATTGCCTTATACATCAATATAAGTTGTGGGTACAACAGATATATAATATTAAAACATCATTCCAGTTCCTCCTTATGGTTAAGCAATCTTCTTAGTATTATCAAGTGGATTAAGAACTCCTTTTTAAAATTATTTCTTTATTTTTATTAAATCATCCTCTTCTCCAAATGAAATATGATTAATTGTATGTGATAAATCTAATGTATTTATCTAACTTCTTTAAAATACTTAATGTAAAATTCCACCAAAAGCATGAGCTGAAACATGGAAATTACCTAACCAATTTACTCATCTTCATTACCTGGTACTTTGTTTACTATAATATAACCTGCAATTTAACATCCTTCCTTTTCTTTAAATGCTTATTCTATACGAGCAAAATCTATTGATTATTAACCATGATGATCGTGTCCTTCATGATTTGAATGAACTTCTTCAGAAATTATCTATCCATTCTTTATTCTCTTTTTTATTAATCTACCTTCAACATTAACAACATGAGATCCCATTATATCTTAAACATCCAAAGATAGAATATCACAAGGAAATTTATGAAATTCTATATCCAAATTAACTCGAATTTATTCACCACCTCTATTTATATCAACAAACATCTCACTACTATTATCAACTTCAATATATGCCTATAAACAAAATATTCTAATAAGAATTACTTGTAATTCTGTGATAAATAGTACAACTATCACAATAGTACTGATAACTGAAATTAATGCACCAGCTGTAGTTGGCTCTGTTAGATCAGCTGGTAATTTACGATAAATGTCCAATTTTCTCAGTCTTGATTGCACTCCACCGATCATTTAATTAATTTATGAAAAATAGCTTAATTATATATTTAAGACTTTTCCAATCATTCTATTTTATCCTATACTAAGATAATTTAAATTATAAATCAGAAAATTAGATTCTTTATTTAAATACAAACTCTCTTTATTATCTTATATCAATATAATCAACATTTATAATAAAATCAAGAAACTTTATAAAATTATAAGAACATTTTCACTCAAAAATTATTAAATATTTTATAAACATAAATTCATCAGATAATGTATTACTTTTGTTATATATTCAATTAGTATTTGATTATATTCACTGATATAATTTTATAAAAATGATGAATTATAGATTGTATGCTTTATTTAAATAATCAATTTCCATATAATTTTTCAAACTCTAAATGTTCTTCAAATTTGTCAATCAATTCAATATCATTTTCTCGATAATCCAATATCTTTAAATCAGCACTTTGTATATATTTATATATATAATACTTATATCTATCTTATTTCTTTCTTTTTAATTGTTTGTCTATTTAAGTTACAATAATCGAATTGTTAAGTGAATTAAGATAACTATCAAATTTAAAATATATTTATACCTTTAATCTCTTGAATAATACCTTTCAACTTATTAATCTTTTTTCTATTAATTATAATTGAAAATTGGCACATCTGATTTTTATAATCCTTTGCTAGGACTCGAATTAAGATAATGACTAGCCCTTTTTTTATAAATTTAGAATTCTTATGGTGTGAAACTGAAATTCTTAACATCTCTCAAACGTCCTTTTGGTCTTTGTCTATCATTCAAATGGCCATAAACATTTTGATTATCATTCTTTTCAATGAAATCTGTAAACAATTCTATCAAAATCTAGATATGATATATACCATTCTTTCTGCCAAAAAGACCTGTCTTCTATTATAATGTTCTATAGGCAAGTTAAAAAGTAGGTTCGTCCCTTTTAATTTGAGGAGTCTATACATAATGTACTTAGTTAGTTACAGTACTATAAATAAATGATAAAGATATTACTTTACTAATTTAACATTTTTGTATCCTTTATTTGGAAGATTAGCAAATTTTTATTCAGAAACATTATAAAATTCAAAATTGTTGAGAGTACTACTTCGTAGAGTTTCCCATTTACTATGAGGTTTAGCTCTGACTTTTAGGAATGGATTATCATAGCTTTCCCTACAAATCAAAGTGTTGGGATTACGAAAGAAGGAAGGTGATTCGAGAGAATTGCCAAAAGCATATTGAGGTAAGATTTTCTTTCCTTTTTCGACTTTTGGTGGCTCTTTCATTTTGAAGGTGTCAGAGAAGGTGCTTCTTAAATAATCAGGCAGTTATTCGCTCTCAAGATTACCGCGATTTGACTAAGCTTGAAAGTGAGATTACTCTTGTAAGTCGAGGTGGCTTTTCTTCTTTTCCTGCAAGCATCCGAGAATTAGGAATTAATATATTGTATGATATATTTATAAAAGCCAAGGGAATATTAAAAATTATATATTGTAATATTGTAATGTTTATTAATTTATAAATGTACGTTTTGCTACTTCAATTAGTGATTCTAGTATATGGATATCCAATATTGGAAAATGGTTAGTTACTAATTGGAGCTGGAGGTTTAGCTTGTGAAAAAGACACAATAACACATATAAAATTCTTAAATGTTTACAAAGCATATGTACCATAAGTAATCTTCATTTTGAATAATTAAACTAATGAAATGTAGTTCTCTGATTTCGCCTTAGACATCCATATTGATTTAATGAAAGTAAACACAACAGGTAATAAAGAATCTAGTTGTTATTAGGATTCACAATCTAAGTAGTCTGCTCAAAAAGCTGTATTAAATCAGTATTATATACATGGTATGCATTTGGAGGAGATACTTATGATTCTGGATGTTTTCCATTATAAGAGAAAGCTTAAGTAACATTAGAATAAATTTATACTTCTCCTATGCAACATTCAGTATTCATTTCTGGATTTGCTGGTTTCTTTAAGTATGGTGGTAAGAAACCTATGCTAAAATTATACTCTTCTTTTGATAATTAAAATTTGACTATACAAGTTGAATCTACATTTTAATATGTGTATATCTGCTATATTCTAGCTTAAGATATGAGTTCTACTACACTTAATGATACAGAAATAGCAAGTAACTCTTAATTGCCATATTCAAAGCTCTGGTTTAGAAGGGAACATATTTAGATGATACATTAATAATGGGAATGGAATCTTTCTAATTATTTGGTAATAATCTTTAAATATAAATGTTGAATGATAAATCCTTCTTTCCTAAATAAATTGAATTAACTGTCAAGGTTGCAAAACTATATGAACCTACTTATAGGAGTTGTCCAAAAGTGTATACAGAATGTATGTTCTAAGGTGATCCTATTTATGTTTGTGATGAAACTGTTAAATTGACTAATATTTGGAAGGAATTTAAAAGTTTAAGAGTATATGATTAGAAAATGAAATTTAAATTGAATATAGTAAGTAATGATAATATTTTGGTAATTGTTATTTATAAATAAAAATCTAGTGGCTTTCTGATGATATTGATTGTAGTTATGATATGTATGATTAATTGATGGAATTCAAAATAAAGAATTAACCTATAGAAAGATAAATAATTAGAAAGAGAAAGATGTTGGGAATGCTTTATGATGAATAAACAACAGAAGAGGATTAAGAATATTCTGAAGACACTATTTTAATTGGTTAAGCATGAATATATTTAATTAAATAGTTTTATATCATAAAATAAATTAAAATTGAATCAGTGATCATTTTATCCATATTTAAATCTATCTAAAAATTCTTTCTCTTTCTATTCCAATGTCTTATAATATCCATTTTCTGTCGATATTGATTTTCTCTAATTAAAAAAGGAATTTCTATTAATATTTTGATTGACTTCTTTTATTTCTTTGATATTAGAATTATCCTTGTTAATTTCTCTTAAATCACTTTATAATTTTGGAATTTCAACTTATTTGACATCAATAGATTTAGATATATTCTTTATAAGATTATAATTTTTCTTAATAGGTTCTATTCTTTTTGATTATTACTGTATTTAAATTTTATATTTTTATTAATTATTTCTTATGATATCATTATTTTGCTCTATAATATTTTAATTTATACCATTCAATCCAAGTAACTATGTTAATTCTTATAAAGAATCAGAAAATTTAAATAGAATAAATCTCTCTTCCTCTAATTTAGTTAATATTCCAAATTATTTTCCTATCAATGCAGCAAAATTCTAATAATCTACTTATTCTATAATTTATATATTAACTTTTACCTCCTGTAATAGCTTTAACACATCTCCTTGCTAAAATAAAGATCGTTTTGTAAATACAATGATTGTATTCAATTTATATTTTTCTACTTATTGACATTACAGAAATAAAGAAATAAAGAAATAAAAAAACAAAAATTAAAATAATCAATGTTAAGCTACATGACCATCACTTAATGTAAAGCAATGATCTCCATATATATCTTGCCAATCACAATCACTTTCCTTATCAGGTGATCGTGGAGACAATTGAAATGTTTCCTTTTATTGAATTGAACTAGTTTATCCTTGTGCATTCGAGAGATCTTGTTTCTTAGGGAATTATTTGCTAAATGTTAATTTAACTTCAGGATCTAAGTTGTGTACTTTCCGACTTATTTTTGTGTCACGATAAGTCTGAATCACAATTCTAGCTTATTCGTTCTCCTAAACTTCTTAAGTGTAGTGTTAAGACTTTTGTTCTTATGGCATTTCAGATAACTTTCTTGATGAAACCTCTTATTTATTGAGGATCGATCCCATTAAAATAATTTATATTATTTTTATCATTCCAGTTTAGGGTATACTTCCCCTATTACTGCTTCAGGTCTATGAATCATAAATTTCTAACCCATCTATTTATGAATACTTCCTTTTGACTTATACAACTAAGTTATAAATAACTTCATACCAATGTTTTCTAACCATAAGTGAAAATGTCTTCTTTTGAATATAAACAACAGAATGCAAATTCTATTATCCCTTCCTTTTACAAGGTTTTTTGATATTTTAAAGTAATCTAAAATAATGTAATCATCCCAATATTAACAATCTTTTGAATGAATAAACTCTTATATTAATCCAAAGTGTCTAAATCACATTCTAAACATTCTTTCAAAACATCTTCTTTTATTCTAATTATAAGAGTTGAAGCTTAATCGATAATACATAATTATACATTATGGATCCATTGTACCAACAATCTCATACATATGTTACCAATAGTCTTTATTTGCAAATTCAACATAAGCATATTCAAATCTTGTTGCTCTATTGATAGGGTTATTATAAATCTTGTTAACATATAAACCCAAATAATTCGAATCATTGAACTCTTATCATTACAATATCATATACAGATAATTTCTTATTAATTTTTTTTAGTCTTCACTATTGATTCCTTCTATTACTCATTAAAATGAAATATTTATTTGGCTCCAGGAAATTTCTAATCAAAGTTACTCTCTAATGCAACATTAGTGAATATTATGCTAGCTAATTTAGTATTCACATCACTAAATTAATAGATGGATTTATGAAGCTTTGATATCAAATTAGCTATTTTCATAAATTAAAATATATGAGAATAATTTTATCGTTTCTGACACTTTTGATTGTAAATGCATAGAATTAATATTGCAATGTACATAATAAAGGAATCAATTCAGGATTAGCTAATTAGCTTGCTCACTCACTTAATTAAATTAGAAATCAAGTTGCAACTGGTTAAATTAGTTTTGAAGGATCTTAATCAGCATCAAATATGAATGTTTTACATTGGAGTAATGGTTATGCAAAAATGGCTTAAACATGTGTTGAAAAATGTCCACTTAAAGCTTCTACTTGTGGTTAAGTATTATTATATTTCATATATAGTTTTAAAATTATGGAGTACTCTATTTTAAAAGACACTTAAATTAATAAATGAGAACTAATTAAGTTATGGAAAAATGGTTCAAAGATACTGAAAATGCTAAATAATTACTCACAGCTAGAGCAAGTGCTTTTGGTTGTGGAAAGGCTGAAGATAATGCTTCAGAATATATAGTTTGTTATTTTGATGAAGTAAAATAAATTAATTTTAAATCTTTCTAGAAATATACTGGTGCTAAATAAGCATTTTTGACAGGACCTGTAGGAGCAAGTTGTAAATTAGGTCGTTCAAAAATGTATAGTGGTCTTTGTGCAACAGCTTCTTCATAAACTTTAATTCATTAATCATCAAATATTAAGAATAAAAAATAAAAAAAATAAAAGAAACAAAAATCACATAAAAAAAATAAGAAAAATATTGAAAGAGAAGTTGCACTTATTGCTATGACAGATTTTAATCAATTTGTATGATGAAGTTATTAATATTAGTAATAACTATTATAATTATTTGTAAATTGATCTAATTACTATTAATAATATCTTTTCTCATTATTTTTAATAATAATAATTCCTAATTTCAATTTTATTTTAATCATATCTAACTTTTAGTCAATCAAAAGATTCATTTTTATTGTTAATATATTACTTTTTTAAACATCATTATATATTATTATTTTAGGATAGCATAAAAATTTGCTTTAATTCATTAATTATTTTAAATTAATGGAATTGATTTAAGAAATAACATTACTAAAAGAATCCTTCTTAGAATTTATAACCAAAGTAACACCTGTGTTTACAGAACCAATTTTGGAATAATTTAACTCTAAATGGAATCCATTGAAAAGACTATTAAGTGATCCTTCTAAAAGTGCAAGTGATGTGTTCATTTTGGTTTCCTCAATGTCTTCATTAAAAAAAAGCAACACTTCTTCTACTTCAGCTACTTCACCTAATTCAGATTGTAGTATCCAAAAAACTCAAACAACAGACAATTCAGTAAAGAAATGTAATGAACTTCCAGAATAGAGGGAGATAACTAAAGTGAAAGAGTAAGCTAATCCATTGTTATATAAAGAACTCAAAATAGGTAATTTTTTTTTCAAAACGTAAAATAGAAATTAATAAGAACTTTTTTCTTAATACTCCAAGATCAAGACCTACATCATAATAAGAGTTAGGAAGTAATGGAGAAAGATTATATGAGGAAGATATTAAAGCAAAAATATTGAGAGATGATATAAAATGTATGATATTCATATTTACAATATTAGTTTTGAATCAATTAAGATCAGCTACTCCTGAAAAAAAGATTAGTGTGACTGTTAGATTCAATTTAGGATAAAAATTATCAGAAGCTATTTGTTAATTTAGAAAGGATAACTTTACTTTGAAAACTATACATGAAAGAAGTTGTGAAGTAACAACACCATAAAGTCCTAAAAAGGATAGATCAGAATCTCCACTTTTACTTGTTTAAAGACCTAAGAATTAATATTTCTAATAGCCAGTGTTTATACAATAATAATAGGCTGGAGCATTAAAAGGATATAGTATCTATTCAAAAAAAGGTTATATACAACCAATACAATTTGATGTACAATTTTAGATGCTGATGTAACAGTACTAGAATAATATGATCTATAAGAAACTATATTTTTGAAAAGTTATTTTGAGTGAACTTATTTTTTGTATTATTATTAAATATCTTCTAATCTGTATATGTCAGATACTCATTCATAATTAAAATTTATTATATTAATAACCAATATATCATAGTCAAATGTAATCAATATTAATATAATAATTGTCGTANTCTAACTTTTAGTCAATCAAAAGATTCATTTTTATTGTTAATATATTACTTTTTTAAACATCATTATATATTATTATTTTAGGATAGCATAAAAATTTGCTTTAATTCATTAATTATTTTAAATTAATGGAATTGATTTAAGAAATAACATTACTAAAAGAATCCTTCTTAGAATTTATAACCAAAGTAACACCTGTGTTTACAGAACCAATTTTGGAATAATTTAACTCTAAATGGAATCCATTGAAAAGACTATTAAGTGATCCTTCTAAAAGTGCAAGTGATGTGTTCATTTTGGTTTCCTCAATGTCTTCATTAAAAAAAAGCAACACTTCTTCTACTTCAGCTACTTCACCTAATTCAGATTGTAGTATCCAAAAAACTCAAACAACAGACAATTCAGTAAAGAAATGTAATGAACTTCCAGAATAGAGGGAGATAACTAAAGTGAAAGAGTAAGCTAATCCATTGTTATATAAAGAACTCAAAATAGGTAATTTTTTTTTCAAAACGTAAAATAGAAATTAATAAGAACTTTTTTCTTAATACTCCAAGATCAAGACCTACATCATAATAAGAGTTAGGAAGTAATGGAGAAAGATTATATGAGGAAGATATTAAAGCAAAAATATTGAGAGATGATATAAAATGTATGATATTCATATTTACAATATTAGTTTTGAATCAATTAAGATCAGCTACTCCTGAAAAAAAGATTAGTGTGACTGTTAGATTCAATTTAGGATAAAAATTATCAGAAGCTATTTGTTAATTTAGAAAGGATAACTTTACTTTGAAAACTATACATGAAAGAAGTTGTGAAGTAACAACACCATAAAGTCCTAAAAAGGATAGATCAGAATCTCCACTTTTACTTGTTTAAAGACCTAAGAATTAATATTTCTAATAGCCAGTGTTTATACAATAATAATAGGCTGGAGCATTAAAAGGATATAGTATCTATTCAAAAAAAGGTTATATACAACCAATACAATTTGATGTACAATTTTAGATGCTGATGTAACAGTACTAGAATAATATGATCTATAAGAAACTATATTTTTGAAAAGTTATTTTGAGTGAACTTATTTTTTGTATTATTATTAAATATCTTCTAATCTGTATATGTCAGATACTCATTCATAATTAAAATTTATTATATTAATAACCAATATATCATAGTCAAATGTAATCAATATTAATATAATAATTGTCGTAGTAAATCTACCTCGTTTTATAAAGCATCCCTTTTTTTATTCCATTTTATCTCTTTATTTTGATAATTTTTAATTAATTTGATTGTTCTTGCCTAAATTTACTTCAATTACTAGACCTTAACTTTCATCAATCTACTGATACTTTTTATGTGAGATTTTAATTATTTAATATTTCAAATAACCATATCTCTCTTGCAGATTTGTTCATTTCAACAGGCAATTTATGAGATTGTTAAGACAATTTCCTTTACAATGAATAATGATTTATATTTGAATGTTATTTCTACTAAGTAATTGGCTTATTGGTCTTTTCTTATAATATTTTTAATAGTTTCTATTTCATCATATTAGTTTAGTTCTACTATTAAGTATTTTAATTTTACATTAATTAAATTAACATCTAATAATGTAATAACCAAAAGTTTAAACATTCCCAATAGAGTCCATTCAAACCCCATAATAAATAGAAGATTATGATGAATTAGATGGTTAATATGCATATAAAGTTGAGAGTAATTATCAGCCTAATTTGATGTCTAATCCAAAATTTGAATAAATGTATTATTTTTTTCATCATCAGGAACAATTATTTATTTGCAATCAAAAGAAATTTATTAGATTTTTAGAAATTGGTTGATACTATGAGTTAAAAGACATAAGTAATTTGCAAGCCAATGATTTCTAATGTAATAGGATTTATATATAATTTAGATTAAAGAAAAAGCAAATGATGATTAAGCCAAAGCATATTTATGTAAACTAAGAACTTTAAGTAAAATTAAAAAGTCTTATGGATTATCAGAATATCTAAATAAAACAAGAGAAGAAGAAAAAATCATTGAAGAATCACTTCAAAAAATTTCTAATTAATTTTCCTTTTCTTCATCAAATTAATTAAGATTATATGCAAGAGCCTTTAAATTATCTTCCACAAATAATATTATATATGCAAATCTCTATCATGATAGACTAAGTGATTAAGCCCCTTATTTACTTTTAGTCAAAAAAGATTCTCAAATGGAAATAATGCATGATCAATTGGATATTAAGAATTAATAATTAATTATTGATTTAAAGGGACCCAATTAAAGATGGATTTCACTTTCCTATAACACAAATAGCATTTATGAAAAATACATTTATGATTACTTAAAAAAGAATAATTATCTTCAAAAAGAAATATTATAATATAGTTTGGAATTCAATTATATTCAAGAAGGAACAGCATATAGAGAAGAAATAAATGATTAAATGCAAAAAAATAAATTAATAGTGGACAATTATTTATTTAGTGTAAAGAGATTTATTTCTATTTTAGAAATTGTTACATGAATTAATAATAAAATAAGATGGATCAATGGAATAATACTTTTAAGAAGTGAAAATCTTCATTCTAGAACATCAACCATAAGATTTGACAGACCCAATAAGATATTAAAATTTATTGAGACATTGCCAATTCCCTGAAAACATACATGCTTTAAAAAAGTGATTGTTAATTTATTTGAATAATGTAATGTAATTTTACTTTTCATAATCTTCTTCCTCTTCTACCTCCTGGTCTTCTAGTTGAATCTGTTGGAATTGGAGTAACATCTTCAATTCTTCCAATTTTCAATCCCAAACGAGCAAGAGCTCTAAGAGCAGCTTAAGCTCCAGGTCCTGGTTATCTGGTATCAACACCTGAGTGCAATTGATATAAATAGATATACCTCCTCTTGCTCTCAATTTAATATGTAAAGCATTAATTTTAAGTGTCTTTAACTTTTCATAAACATCTTTAGCTGCTTGCATTGCTGCATATGGTGATGATTCCTCTCTGTCTGATTTGACTTTCATTCCTCCTGTGACTCTTGCAAGTGTTTCTCTTCCTGTCAAATCTGTAATATGAATGAAAGTATCATTCCAAGTTGAGAGAATATGAGCAACTCCAAAAACTAATTCATTTCCAGCAACATTTGGTCCTAATGTAGCAACAACTTCTTTTGGTTAATCATCTCCTTAATTCTTTTTTCCTTTCTTTCCTTTAGCTTATTATGCAGCAGGTTATACTTTGTTATCAGCCTAAATTAAATTGCTTAACATACCATTCACCTAAAAAATTTTAAATCTTTTTTAATATAAAAAAATAGAAATCAAACTTAAATAAGAATAATGCATATGTTTATTATTATACTGTTTATTTGTTTTAAAAATCATTCAGCTGCTAACTTGTTTTAAGTTTTCTTTACTCTTTAAGCCTTATTCTTCTCTCTTCTATCATTTTATTCTTTCTCAATCTTATCAACTCTAACCTTTTCTTATTTAGTTTCATGGATAGCTTCAATAAGTACTTTTTTGTTTTTGTATTGATTACCCTTTGAAGCCAAATAAAATTCATGATATCTATGTATTATTATACATAATTATTTTACTATTATCTATCAATTTTTTTAGCAGCTCTATATTTTCTCAACAATCTTCTCAAAACTCTTTATCTACGAATCCAAAGTACTTTTGTTGGCATTCTAGCCTCTCTTGTACCTCTTCTCTTACCAGTACCTGTATGTCTGCCTAATTAAATTTAATCAATATCATTCACTCACCTCTTCTCTTAGCCTCAAGGTATCTTCTAGCTCTTGCTCTTGAATGAATTGTTCTCAATCTTCTCATTATGAGGCCATCCTTAATCAATTTTCTAATTGACATTCTTGAATTTGCAAGACTGATTTCACTAGCTTCATTTGGATCTAACCAAACTCTATTCACACCAACTTTTAATTAAGTAGATGCCAATCTTTTTTAGAGACGGAGGTTAACCATTAATAAATTAATATCTAAATATTTAAATTTTATATAATAAATATGAGATGCTGCAAATATTGACAAAGCATTATCATTAATATTCATAATCTACTTATATTTATTTATAAATATAGCATATATATATGAACATTTTAAAATAATATTGAATTAGAAATATTAGAATTCTATTTTAATAACAAAAATAATCATTTTTAATTATATAAATAAATTAATCAAGTATATAAAATCATAAGGATACATAGTATAATTTAATATAAAATTATAAATCTAATAAGATAATCTATAAATATTAAGAAAATATATATTTTTATTTATTATACATTATATATTAGTTTATAATTAACTTAATTAAATTAAATAATATGTATAATTGTGAATTATAATTACTGTTCAAGTAAATTCATTATTATCTGTTTAATTCTTACAATAAAGAGTTATATTTTTATACAACATTCTTGCAATATGCATCTTATACAATAGGAGATGGAATTTAATCAAATGTTATTTTTTATTTATTCTATTTATTCTCATTTTATATAATAGTTGAATTGTTCCTACTATGTTATTACTTTTTTTATTAAATAGAAACATTTGAGGAAGCATTTACAACATTTTAATTTTAAGGTTTATAAGATGATGTATCTGAATTTAATAATTAAATGATGAGATCATCTTCATTATATTATTTTGGTTATTACTAAAATTATGTTTATTGTATTTCACTCTATTATTCAGATCTAACAGTTTATTAAGTTGGAAGTGATTATTATTCAATATTTAATAATTTCTAAAACACATTTTGAAGATAACTAGTATTATTTAATTGAGAATTCTAATCTTCAGATTTTCTATTGGTAGTTAATTCAATACTCTATATAAATTAAATTTAATACTTATTCATTTGAAAAATTTAATCTGTTTACTATTTTTTCAAATTCTTGTATCTTTTTCATTAGTATTTCTTTCTTCTTTTTAGATGACTTTTTTTATTATACAATTGATTATTGTAAAATAGGTTATTGAACAATAGAAGTTTATATTTATTAATCAATTTTAATTGGAGAATCTCTTTATGTAATAGGTATGATAAAGGAGGAACTTTAATCTTAATTAATTTGATTAAGAACTTTAAAGTTTGGACTTTAATGAATATTTTCATCATCATTTTCAAATTTATATAATAGCTTTTATTTGCTTTAAGTTTATAATTAAGGAGTTTAATATTATGATAGCATCTCTTAATCTTATAATTGTGAAATTTCTTCATCAAGTTTTTCAATTTCAGTTTATAATCTTTATTATTTTTATTCAGATTATTGCATCTCTGCTAATTTTTTTAACAGTATTTCTTTTTCTTCTCTTTCTTGTGCCAATCTTTTAATTAATTTTCCAATTTTCTTTTTATCTTCCAAACATAAGTCTTTAATTTTTGGTTTTTGATTTGAATCAAATTGATAGGTTTTATGCATACGTTAAATATTAAATTAGTAATTATAATAATAATGTAGAATTTAAAACTCATAAATGAATAATGTTTATAATTTAATTATAATCATAAATATAGATTTGCCAATAATAATCTTTTTTTTTTAGTTTGAAGTATTTTTTATGCCTCTTTTCTTGGCATATATTTAATATTTGGAATATTAAATAATTCATCTGCATTCTCAAGAGATACAAAATTGCAACATTATATAGTAGCATGTATTGAAAATTAAAATGGTATTTATACTTTTATTGGAAATCCATTCAATTCAATAATCTCTTACATTTCTGGTCTTTAAAATAAACCATTTAATTTTTCCATTAAATGATTACCTTTTGCCAATAGAGATACAATATTAGCAAAATCTTTAAATTGAAGTGAATGATTTTTACAAATCCATAAGGATATTGTTCTAGTTTCATTCTATTCTTTAGGTTTCTAATTTAATAATAAATCTGTATTAGGTAAAACATCATTTAATATCCATTCTTCATAAAATTCTCTCTCAACTGCAAATTTAATTTAAGTATCATTACTTTTCTTCAAATAAGAACTTTTATATGTAATCTTTATATCAAATCTCTATCTTACAAATATAAATACTTCTCACAAGAATATTATCCTACTTATTCAATTACTTTTCTACCTCTCCAATCTACACATTATTTTATTGTACAACTTGTTATATCTAATGCTCCACTAACTGGTTCACTATGTAAAATATCATAAATAATTAATTTTTTCTCTTCTGTATCTAATTCTTCTAAAGGATCTGTATAAAATTAATTAGATCTATTAATTTAAAATAATTTATTTTATTTAAACAATAAAGACATATTTCTACGTTTGCATTAGAGTTTAGAAAAACCTACAAGTGTACTATCTAATCTTAATTATTATTTATATTTGTATAATTTAATGGTATCATTAGGAGCTAATAATTTAATAAAAGGTAAAGGACTATCAAAATTCCAATTCATATCTAATTGAAAATTGGGTACTTATTGTAATACAGTTGACAATTAATGAAATTAATTTAAAAATTCATTTCTTTTATTTCTATAGCATTGTTAAAATAATAAAGCTGTTGCATATATTGATCTTTAAGAAAGTGATTCATCCATAGCTGACCATCCTGTTAATTTATTTTTAATAAATGGATCTGGATTCATTTTTAATACTTCCTTTAATAATTCATCATATTTCTTATGGAATCCATACAATTTTGTTATAGTTATTAAAATAGTATTACCTAAGATATCATGTTAATTTAAATACTAAAATTTACTGTCTATTTTAAATAATTATAAATACCTTTCATTAATGATTAAAATTTAGAAACATCATTATTAAGCATACTCTAAATTATATGTTTAAAATTAATGATTGTATTATGTTTCTTAAATGCAATAATTGGTTATCTGATAATATTAGCTTCACTTTTAATTCCTTCAGTAAATATTTATTACTTTCCATTATTAAGTTGTTTAAATAAAATCTCATTTTCAGATAAGATTTTTTCAATTTATCTATGAGATTAATCTTATTATGTTTAGGTTTATTATGTTGATTATTAAGGCTATTTTTTGTCATTAAGTAAATCTTAAAAACACTCACTTTATTCAGATAATATATATTTTTATTTAGAAGATTTAGGTGATGTATTAAAATTAACAGGAGAAGATATTAGATGATTTTGAGCAGTGTTAAGTTTATTTAATGATTAATGAACAATCAAAGCTTTTTCTTATAATTTTTATGGATTATGTATAATTTAAGGAGATTAATCAGCAGTGTATAATTTTGAAGCTAATTAACTATAACTAGCAGCAACTTTAGATCTATCAATTTTATTAGCAACAGAGATTTATTTAATAACATTGATATTTTATTTTGATTCTTTTTAAGAATTTAAATCTCTTTAACTACTTTATCTGGATTATGATTCCCTATCAGTAACACTTTATATATCACTCAACTTTCTAATTGGTTATTAAGTACTTTAAAATGGATTTTTTATTTTATGTTCTGAAATTCCATGTGTCATTTTACTTACTTTAAAATTTTCTACATATTATTAATCTACACAGCATGTTTTCAATTTTGAACTAAATATTTTTTCTTTCTTTTTTGGTAAAACAATTTCTACATTATTTGATTAGAAATTCTATAAAGTTACTTGCTTAATCTCAATAGCTTGTTGTTCTCTACATGTATCATCTACATTACAAATACTTGAATCTAATAATATAAAGATAATTTAACCACTAAGTGATCCTTAAAAGGAATCTGGAGGAGCATGCTAATGGTTTATTTGTCTCTCTATTTTTGGATTTTGTTTTACTCTTGCCATATAACAATTCATCATCATGATAAAAAATTATATATATTTTATATAATTATATTTAGAAAATATTTTTTTTAGATTACTGATTGTATAAATAATATTATATATATATATAATTAGAATATTTTTATAATTATATATTGAGTTTTTGATAACAATTTAAGTAGATTTCATATATTATATAATAATAGATTTAATAAAGCTAATCAAATAAGTTATGAATTAATTAAACTATCATAAGGCTTTATATTTATTAATTGAAACCTTTAAAAATTTTTAGTATTTATAAAAGTGAGTTAAATAAATAACTCTTCATTAAATTAGCATATCGAATTTATTAATGCTCTATATTCATTAAAGTCTATTATCACTTAACTAATAATATATGGGCATTAAATCATAATCATTTTATTCATCCATTTATTAAGCAGATCAAATAAATGAATACAGAATTATCTTAATTTTGTAAATTCTTATAATTAATTATTTTTTTATTAATAAACTTATAAATATAAAGTACATTAACGTGATTCATTCATTTTTCTGATTATTCTCAATTTTCTAGAAACTAAAGTTTTTAATAGGAATCATTTTATAAACAGGTTTTGGGTGAAATTCTACAGGCGAAGGGTAAACTAATCTTTTTTAATTTTAAGATATATTTAAATTTTAGTATTAATTTGATAAGACAGGCTTTCTTACAGCACTAATTGTTCTATTTATTGTTGTAATGCTACTAAAAGGACGTTATTAAGAAACAGCTCTAGTTTAAGGTATTACAGTATTTCTTCCTGTTAATTATTACAAAGATTAACCATCCAAATCACTGAAAGACTAGTTTGTAGATAGCCTTTTAGCATTTTTTGATTTTGAAGGTTTAACCTCTATTTAGTTTTTTAATGCTCTTTCTACATTCTTAAATTATTCAAGCTATTAATTGATCATACTATCTCTTTCCTTAGGTTTAGGAGGCATAAATTATTCATAATAATCTTTAATCTTCCTGTTAATAGATATAAATGTACTTCATCAGGATAGATTTTGATGTAACCATTTAAATGTTTGTCTTCATAAAGACTCATTTTGATTTATTATTTCTCTTTTTCCTCTAAACTCATTTTGATTGGTCTCTAATAAACAGGAGCTCTTTTTTAATCTAAGTATATTTTTTTGGGTTTGTTTTTAACATCCAGAAGTATTAAGGTATCCCTAATGAGATTTCTTTTAATAATTTTATCTAATGGTGTATCTGTCGAAAATGATGGAGTGTGATTAACTTCGAGTAACCAAGGTTTAAGGGAAGAGTCTAAGAGAATATCAAATCCAAATAATTCAAAACACTATTCAATTCCATCGGTATTATGTTATTATGATCTATATAGATGAGTCAAATCTCCTTATACACTTTATATAGTCTTAACAATCACTTTTTTTATTTGATTTAGTAATTAATTTATATCATGACCTTGATCTTGTAAATACTTTGGATACTTCATATTATTACTTTCAATACAGATGATAGAGATCTTTTATGTCCAACATCATCTTTATTAGTATCATTATTGAATACGAAATCTTTACTTCTTTTATTAATAGCATAATTTGTTAGATGCATTGTAACACTTCCTAGATTTTTCTTTTAAGGTTTTACATATTTTTTAGTTGAAAACCTTGCAAGACCCTCTTGATACATAAATATTTTCAATGGATAGATAGATTTTAGGAGTACATATATTCTAATATTTTAATAAATTTATACCTTAGATCAAATTTCAATCCATCTATTAAATATGGATTACTTAGATATTCTTATACCACATAGTGCTTATCAAGAAATGGATCTAATTTTTTGGTAAGAAATATTCCTCTGCCTTAACAATTTGCTTCTGGTTTAACAATAAAGATAGCTTTTCCCTATTTTTGTCTGACCTCTTCACTTTAATAAGGTAATTGCCATGTTCTTGGAAAGAAATCATAATCGTCAGGAAACATTTTCCTCATTCTATTTAAATTACGACATAATTCATTCTTTTTCCCTAACATATAAGATCCAGGAAAATGATTAATTCTCTAGTATGGTAATAAACGACGATATTCTTCATCAGTTACATAAGTATCTTTCCAAAAGATATGGCATTCAACCTCAGAAGGTGTGATCTTCCATTCTAACAGCTGAACTGCTTCATCAATTACCTTATATTTAGTTTCTAGTTTTATCAATATTAGTTTATACATTCTAAGTTGATCATGATTTTTCTTTTTATAAAATCCCTTGGTAATTAGTCTAATTATTATAGAGACATGAAAACATTCATACTTGATTTTATATTTTTACTAATTTATTATCTTAAATGTATTCATTTCTAGAATACTCATGATCATCATCAATATGGATCATGAATTTTATTAAACTTGTAAAAACTAAGACTAAAATAATAAGGAATATTAAAGTGTATTCTAAATAGATTCAATAAAAAGATAAATAATAAAAATTTGATATTTGAACTCTGAATTAAACTTATCCAAAATCTAAGTCTCTTTCATGAATTAATTATTAATAATCTGAGTGTTTTAAATGTAAATTTTATCATTATTTACTTATTGCTTCAAATTTATAGAAAAATCAATCAAAAAAAATTTTAAATCAAATTAAAATTTCAGAAAATTTAATATAATTCTTTCAAGAAACTTTAGATAATGATATTAAGAATCTTATATTATTTTAATAGTATTATAATGTAAAAAGATGAATAACTTTTATTTCTAATTATAACAGTGATCCCTTTCTTTGTATCACCATATTTCTTGTTTATAGTTTTATTGGCAACTTGCTTAATTTATTTAGCATAATTTTGAGATGAAAATAAAAAAAGATATAGAAAAATTTGTCACATTCTTATTTTTGCGTGTTGGCTAAAATTTAATTATTAATATTCTTCCTAAGAAATGAAAATACTAGTAAGAAAAAAGAATAAATAATAGTAAGGTCATAGAAGAAAATACTAATAGTGACTAAGTAGAAAAAATGATAGAGATTTCAAAAAAAAATTCTTTTGATTAACATATATTTGTTTATCCATTAAATTTGACTTGTTGAGAATAAATCAAAATCATATTTTTATAATTGATAACCTTAGCGTAGATTTTAAGTGAGGATGCTTGCTTCTATACTATATTGTTCTATAAATCCTTGTTATGTCCTATATATTTGCAGAAATTTATATTTTGTATAGAAATAGCTATCTATAAATTTTAAGAATAGAAGCTTTTGCTTTTTTTATGAAAAAAATAAGCTTAGTTTAATTGAAAATGGGATAACATTATATTATCCTTTTGACAAAGACTCGCTGTTAAACTGTAATAGTCTTAAAAAAAATATTTCTTTAGAACAAACTTGATGCCCTAGAATTCATTAATGAAATCACAATCTTATAAGAAGATTTTAAGTAAATTCTATGGATTTATTGATTCTTATTGCTATAATCTGTAATTTTTATAGTTTTATTTTATCATTCTATTACTTTCTGATAAATAAACAATTTAAATGAATAATTAAAATTTTTGATAATTTATTCTTCTGGTATAATCATAATCTTTATAAGTTTAGAACTGTTAATCAATATCAAAAGCATTAATAATTAAATAATTTATTAATGCTTTTGGTGAAAATGTGAATAAAAAAATTTTTAGTTCTATTTTATAATATATTTTAGTTAATCTCTATAAAATGAAAGGAACTAATCAAGAATTCAATTAAATATATGTCTTCATGTTGAATCATTCAAAATAACAAATTGTATTTTATTTAATAAGAAGATAGGAGAATAAATATAAATAAACAAAATCTAAATAAAAATGAGATGGAATAGATTAGAATTTCGATTGAACAAATTTTGAAAACCTAAAAAAAATATTAGGTTTTGGAAATGAAAATGCATAAAATGTGAAATTAAACATAGATATATGTATTAATATGTATTGTTGGTTTTACACTTTTTTCAACAACACCCTGAATCATCTTTTTTCTTTTTCTTCTATGGTTGTAGCTACTGCTATGGATTATCATGGGATTCGGATAATGCAATAGAGACTTTGTTTTCATTTTTACGCACTGTTTCATTTATATAGTTTAAGAAAACCAATTTGGCTGCTTCGGTGAATGCATATAATAGAATTCACTCAATACCAATTCAACATTTTAATTGTTTTTGGCACTCGTCTCAAAAAATAAATTAATTCCCTTCTCATCTATGAATGACTTTCCTTCATCATATGAGACTTGGCGTCTAAAAATGATATAGAATTGTACTAATCCTCCAAATCATTTTAAGCACCAACCAAAACAGTCACGATATTTGGTGAAGCATTCTCCTTTGCCTCTTTTAACCATCCATCCAATTTCTCTAATGTATCTCGTCTATGTAATATATATTATAATTATACTTTGTAATATTATAGACTAAAAATACTGCTGTAACATTCCTATAAAAGGATCTTACTATTGATCTGAAAGACTCTTATCCAGCTGTATCCCAGATTTATAACTTAATTTTTGTATTAGAATCCACTTCCACTGTTTTAGAAGAGAATTCCACACCGATTGTAACATTGTATTCAGAGACAAATTCGTCTTTTGTATACCTTAATAGCAAACATGACTTCCCGACACCTCAAAGATTCATTTAATTAATACCGCTTTCTCCAATTATGATAAATTTAAACAATGGTGTTTTATCAGCTGAGGAATTCATCATCGTAAATTCTTTAATATTTTAATTTATGTCTAAAAAACAGAAGCATACTCAAAAATAAACCAAAAAAGTCCTATCTCAAGACATAAATGAGAGTGATCAATCTCATTTCTTTTCCCTTCTTGGTGATGACTATGATGTAAGTCTTATTTATTATAAAAATAGAATAATGGAAATATCAAATTAGCTTAAAAAATATTAGGGGATTATAAGACTCTACTTGAATATCCACCTAATAAATTTTGGGCTACACTCTCTTACAATTTAAATCTCCAAAATTCTTTGGACCTTTTCTTGAGATACGCACCAAGAAAACACTTTCTTAAAGAACCCTTACATTTCACAGGATACTATGGAGTATTAATCAAAGAGATCTTTAAATGTGTCTTTGCTATCTATCTAAGATTAATAGATTTATAAAATGAAGATTCAATTTTATATGAACAAATTGGTGTATATGATTTAGTATATTAAAAATGGATCTTTGATGTCATGAAATTGACTGATATCTGCACAATATATGCAGATTAAAATGAGAGTAATAATTATTATTTTATAAACTTAGATGGTGTTAAGAAAATTTGTTAATTTGTGTTTAATTATTAAGCATACTAAGATGATTACAAATCTACAATAGATTCCTTTATGAAAAATGTTCTTGTTAAGATTTATGAAGAAATATTTTAAATAAATAATAAATCAGCAAATGAAAATGAAATAATTATTAGTGATGTTTAATAAAAAATGGAATTACTCACATTAATTTTAGATTCTATTGAAACAGTAATAGTTTGGGCAAAATATTTCCCATAAAAACAATATCTATTTAAGACAGAAATCATATCCTGTTTTGAATAGATTTTTTATGAATTGATTCTGGCTAAAGGATATAGTAGAGGAACCACATAAATCTCAGGTGTTTGGAAACCATAATTTTTATAACATTTACATCACTTCCTTAAACAAGCTGTATAAAGATTTATTGATTTCTTTGTTATTTATATGAAATATCTTGAAGAATTGATTGTGACAAAATAGATTAAATAATCTTAAGAACATATGAATTATTTGATATAGAATTTTGGTATCATGAAAAGAAAGTTTAAATCAAAAAAGGGTAATTAAAATCAAAATAAAGAATGGATTCTATTTGAAGCTCTTTATGAAAACGGTTTTAATATGATTGAATTATTAATGAATACACCATGGAATTAAATTAATCTGCCAAAAGAGGATATAGAAGAAGTTACTCTTCTAATGACTACATTAATGGAAGAGAGAGAAAGACTTAAAGGTAAAGCCAATAATGAAGAACCTGAAAATTTTGATGTTTTTGAAAACTTTGATCCTGCTTAATCAACACTTCCAATTGATATATTAGAAGCTATGGAGAAATAAGATATTGAATAGTAAGATTGTGAAATTGAAGAAGAACAAAATTAGGATGAACCAGTTCAAGCAGAAGAAAAATTAATTGAAATAGTATCAAAAAAGAAATAAAAAATGACATTTGATTAACCATTAAAAGATAGAATTGAAATGGCTGAAATAACAGCTAAACTTTATAATGATGAACCTGATGATACATATGATTATCAAGAAGCATTATAAAGACCTGAAAAAGAATACAAAAGTAGTGATGAAGATGAGGAGGATGATTATGTTCCTAATGATCATTTCATTAGATATGCAAAACCTTTAAAGAAATCATAAAATTCATAGATCAATTCAGGACATAGTATGAGTTATTAGAATTTAGATAATAATAATGATAAATAAATAAAAATTCTTAAAAATCCAAATAAATAGTAATAATAATATAAACCAAAACATAATGAATAAGGATTTAGTGATGAAGAGGATGAGTAATTTAAAAGAGATAATAGAAATAATAATAATAATAATAATAATAATAATAATAATGATAATCGACCTTATTAAGAAAAGTCTATCAAAGTATATGTTAGAGATAATCACTATCAAAACAACAATAATGATTTTTAAAGAAAAAATTATAACAATAATAATTAATAAAAGTAAGATAATAGAAATAAAAATAAAAATCAAGAATATTCAAGGAATGATGATGTTTATAGAAGGGAAGATTATGATCGGGATGATAGACCTTAAGGTAATAATGAATAGAAGAAGGTTCTATAAAAGGAGAGAAATAGAGATGGTGGTTATGTTGGAACTAACAAGCCGAAAAATCAATTAGAATATGAAGAGAAATAAGAAATCTAATAAACATAATAATATCAACAGAAATAAAATAATAACAAATAACAATAAGGAAAAAAGAATTTAAACTCAAAAGCTAGTCCTTATGATATTTATGTCCCAAAAGAGGAAATTGTAAATAAAGAATAATAAGAATAGAGGTAAGAGAAGAAACATCAACGAGGTTAAAAAAGATATTGAGTATATAAAAATAAATAAATTTAATCTAGAATTTCTAGAATATACTATTAAGAGACTATTTAATTTAATTGTGGGTAATTTTCACTAATAAATTATTTGTCTATAAATTGTTAATGATTTCTTCATCTAGAAAGCTCTTTGGCAATATTGTATTGGGAAAATCACTTGTATCTACTCCAGTTTTCTTTGCAGGAAAAGAATTGAGTTTTGGATAAGAATGCAGACAATAAATGTTACGTGGTTGTGACAAATTAGCTGATGCAGTTCAAACAACTCTTGGACCAAAAGGAAGAAATGTTGTTATTGATTAACAATTTGGTGGTCCAAAAATTACTAAGGATGGAGTTACAGTAGCAAAGGCAATTGAATTCTCTAACAGATTCGAAAATATTGGAGCTTAATTAGTAAAGTCAGTGGCATCTAAAGCTAATGATGAAGCTGGTGATGGCACAACAACAGCCACAGTTTTGGCTAGAGCTATCTTCAAAGAGGGAGTCAAGAGTGTCGCAGCTGGACTTAATGTAATAATTTATATATATATCCTTTTTAGCCTATGGACTTAAGAAGAGGTATCAATTTGGCATGTGATGCAGTCGTTAAGGATTTGAAAAATAGATCAAAACCAGTTAAATCAAAGGAAATGATTGAAAGTGTAGCTACAATCTCTGCTAATGGAGATGTTGAAATTGGAAAATTGATTGCAGAACTTATGGATAAAGTAGGAGAACATGGAACCATTACAGTATCTGATGGTAAAACTCTTAATCATGAAATTGAATTTGTCGAGGGTATGAAATTCGACAGAGGATACATCAGTCCTTATTTCGCTACAGATCCAAAGACTTAAAAGACAGAATTCGAAAAACCATATGTTTTGATCACTGATAAAAAGATCTCAAATATTTAATCAATTCTCTAAATTTTGGAACATGTTGTAAGAGAAAATAAACCACTTTTACTTATTGCTGATGATGTTGAATCAGAAGCTTTAGCTTAATTGGTTTTAAATAAATTAAGAGGAGGTCTTAAAGTATGTGCTGTCAAAGCCCCTGCTTTTGGAGTATTAATTTATTTCATTATTTTAGGATAACAGAAAAGCAATCTTAAATGATATTGCTGTTTTAACTGGAGCAACAGTAGTCACAGAAGATGTTGGATTGACATTGGAAAAGTCAGATCACACTGTTCTTGGATAATGCAAATCAGTTATTATCACCAAAGATGATACTATTATTATGGATGGTATTGGATCAAAAGATAGTATCAGTGAAAGATGTGAAATCATCAAGGCTTAAATCACAGAATCAAATTCTGAATATGATAAAGATAAACTCAAAGAAAGATTGGCTAAATTATAAGGTGGAGTTGGAGTCATCAAAGTTGGTGGTGCTTCAGAAGTTGAAGTTGGAGAAATTAAAGACAGAATCACAGATGCACTTAATGCAACTAGAGCTGCTATTGATGAGGGCATTGTTGTAGGTATAAATATTAAATAAATATTAAGGTGGTGGATGTGCTTTATTGTATGCAACAAGAGTTTTAGATAAACTTAAGGGAGATAATTTTGATTAAAACATTGGAATTCAAATTGTTAAAAAGGCTATTGAATTACCATGCAGAACTATTGTTGAAAATGCTGGTGAAGAAGGAGCTGTTGTTGTTGGAAAATTGTTAGAAGGAAAAGATGAAGAATTCGGATATGATGCTTCAAAATCATAATATGTCAATATGATTAAGGCTGGTATCATTGATCCAACAAAAGTTGTAAGAACTGCACTTGTTGATGCTGCCTCAGTAGCCAGTTTAATGACAACAACAGAGTAAAATTATAATTCTATTTTAGATGTATGATTGTTGAAGGAAAAAAGGATGAAAAAGCAGGAGGAGCCCCAAATATGGGAGGCATGGGAGGAATGGAAGGAATGTATTGATATAGTGATTATTGTTCATTTAGTATAATATTAAATATATAATTAAATGTATCAAAAAAGTTATTAAATCTTTTTTAACAATGCTCCTAAAATTAGACATATTACACTAACGATTAAAAGATGTCCAATTAATATTTATTAATCCTCTATAAATAACTATAATTGTCTTACATTTATTGTTATCTTTATTTTTGAACATTGCTTTAAATTTTAATTTTTCTAATTCATCATTCAACTAATCTTTGCTTGTCTTGATTTAATCAATTTACTTGAGAATCTATTGTTCTTTTTATTTTAAAGTAGAAATTAATTATGCTTATTCAACTTTCATAATAGAAGTTTAAGATCGTATTCCTGATACTTCATGATTTGATCGTTCTTCATCATTGCATCTAAAATTACCAGATTCATAAGGTTCATTATTATAACTTTATTCAGGATCCATTTTATCTTAGAATTTTTCAATAGGCTCTTGAGGTATCTCATAAGCTTCTGTAAAAAAGGTCGGTTATTTTACATCTCTACTCATATTAGCACTTAATCTGCTTGCATCCTACAGTATTGGACTTATACTTGGATTATTATTAAATATATTTGAAGTTCTACTTTCTTAACCATCAAGACTATTTTTATGAACAATTTATTCTTATAACCGACTAAAAGTGTGTTATGATCTTTGTAATTGCATAGGTTCTTATTTCATAACTTCTTCAAAAGTTTGTTTTTTATCTGATTACTAGGTGCTAGATGAATCTGTATTGATGTTCATTCTTATAGAACATATTTGAGTTGATAATACACCAGGTTATTTTTCAACCCATAATTGTGGGTTGGAATACTCAAGCATATCAAGATATTCTTCAACATAATTAATAGCTTCTAATAAAACATCAATATCAAATTGACTAGTTTTATTTGTAACAGAAATTAATTTCCTTTCGTTGGGAGCAATCATGCCATAAGAAGGCATTATTCTTAGAAGATTATCATTTTTGAATCTAAAAAGGATTGGATGATCAACCATATTGATAATTTGAAAAGTAGTTTATTTTCTATGATGAATTTGAAATGGAGGTTAAGGTGAGATTGAGAAGAGCATTAATTTTTATATCTTTTTTTAATTAATATTTTAAAAAATCAAATGGCCAAAGCAGCAAAAGACACTAGACCAATTGCAGATTAAGCTACATCTGAAGCTGCATGTACATACGCAGCCCTCATTTTATATGAAGACAATTAAGATGTACTTGAAAATGTGATAATAAGATTGATTCCACTAAATTAGCTAAGATTATTAGAGCTTCAAATTTGAGAGTTGAACCAATTTGGACTAAAGTTTTTGAAAAAGCACTTAAGGGCAAAAGAATTGGTGATTTGTTACATGGTAGCAGTGGAAGTGCAAATAGTGGTCCATAAGTTTAAACAACATCAACTCCTGTAGCTGCTGAGACCAAAAAGGCAGAGCGAGTTAAAGAAGTCAAGAAAGTTGAAGAACCAGAAGAAGATGTTGATATGGGTGGTTTGTTTGATTGAAAATGAAAATAAAAATCGTACATTAATATTTTAATATTATGAAATCTAATAAATTGGAGAAATACGAGAAGAAAGAGAAACTTGGAGAAGGTACTTACGGAATTGTGTACAAGGCATTAGGTATAAATCATTATATTATTTGCATTTAGACAGAAATACAAATGATTATGTGGCATTAAAGAAAATTAGACTAGAATCAGAAGAAGAAGGTATTCCAAGTACAGCAATTAGAGAGATATCTCTTCTTAAAGAGTTAAATCATCCAAATATTGTGAAGTAATATTTACACTATCTAGATTAATGGAAGTTGTGCATTCAAATAAGAAGCTTGTACTGGTCTTTGAGTATGTTGAAATGGATCTTAAGAAATTCTTTGCTCAATTCCCTAAAGAGAAAGGCATGGAACCCGTCATTGTCAAAAGTTTTCTCTATTAACTCTTAAGAGGAATATAAGCATGTCATTAATAAAAAATATTACACCGTGATCTTAAACCTTAAAATCTTTTGGTTTCAAAAGATGGAATACTAAAACTTGCTGATTTTGGACTTGCTAGAGCTAGTGGAATACCTGTCAAAAGTTTTACTCATGAAGTTGTCACTTTATGGTATAGACCACCAGATGTTTTGTTGGGATCTAAAAACTATAATACATCAATAGATATATGGAGTGTAGGTTGTATCTTTGCAGAAATGTCAAATCTTAAACCTCTTTTTGCTGGAAGTAATGAAACAGATTAATTAAAAAAAATATTCAGAGTCTTGGGAACTCCAACACCAATTGTAAATTACTTTTTCTAATTTAGGAATATCCAAAATTGAACGAACTTCCAAATTGGAAACCTGAAAACTTTGAACAATATCAACCTGATAATTTGGCTAAGTTTTGTCCAAGACTTGATCCAGATGGTTTAGATTTATTGATCAAAATGCTTAAAACCAACCCAGATTAAAGAATCACAGCCAAAGCTGCTTGTGAACATCCATTCTTTAAAGAATTACCAGAATAAGTTAAGAAATTATATGTCAACATCAAGTGAGAATTGATAAATCAAATATATATATTTTAAATTTCAGATGATAAGAATACTATTATAAATAAGTTTGTCATTATTTAAAAGATCAAAGATAAATAATACAAAAAACTTTTGATTAAATATATATTATAATTTATAATTAATATTATATCATATTTTGAGACCCTAAATATTAAAAATAAGTTTGGAATTAATTAAAACAATATCGATATGTATGATATTAATAAAATTAATGAATAATAAGTTTTTGAGAGATTAATTAGAATAAGATAAATTGATTTTATTAAAGATATACTTATAAAATTCTAGCACTTTTATAATTGAAATATTTATTCAAAAAAAGAGAATTCAAGAATATGAAAATTAAATTAAGTTTTTAAAAACTCAAGAAATTTACATACCTTTAAATAATTTATTTAACTTTTCAACCTTTAAATTTCTTACTGAAATTAAATCTTATCTAACCTAAAAATTTAAATAAAAATTATAGTCAATCAATTTCAAATTTCATCTTTATCTCACTTTATTCCTTTTCATATTATCTCTTCAATTCCAATTTCAAGTTTTCATTGTCTTACTTTATTATTTCTATATATCTATCTAATTCATGTATTCGTGAAATTTAACTATTTTCTAATATTAATCCTATATCACTTGCTTAAATTCTCTCATTATTTATTTATTTCTATCCCATTCTATTTGATTTCATTCTAAATTTTCTTTCTCTCATGTTTATAATTTTTCAATTTTATGGCAAATAATAGATTATCTAATTTTTTAATTTCAGCTTTCAATTGCTCATTTTCTACTTCCATCTAAAATTGTGCATCAATATATTAGTAATCTCTTACTTTATTCTTTGAACTACAAATAAATAAAGTTTTTATAAATTATATTAGATTTATCAATAACATGAATTAGAACATTTATAATACTTACTGTCTCTAATGTATTATTATTCTTATTCTATTTATTTCATTCTTAATTTGTCACTACTATTAATTAAAATCCATGAATTTTTCTGTTTGGTATTGCATTAAAAATTAAATTCAAAGATGCTCTTTAATTAATATATAAGTATGAAAATAATTCATTAATATTTTTTTGTAAAATATAGATTTAATTATAATGATATTAATTGTAATTAATCTTCAAATATGAATAGAAATATAGTAAAAAAAATAATAACAAAAAGATATTAGAGATTATTTTAATTAAATTAAATTTATTATTTTGGATAAATAATAATAATGTTTAATAATTCTTAAAATAGAAATTATTGATATTTTCATTTACTAAAGATTCCATCAAAATTGATTGAACTTAATTTAACAGGAACTTTTGTATTTGGCTATTATTAAATTTACATAGTTGGAAGAACAGCTTATCGATCAACTAATTCTAGTCTCTCTCTTTCTTCTTATGTAACTTCCTAGGGTAGAAATAGAATAATTTATATACTCTGCCATCCAGATATAAAATTGTTGGCAATTTTCTAAGTATCATCTATCTATAACCAGGTCTTCTACTTAAAGAATTTCCAACTAATTCTAATTCTTTAAGTTATGTTAATGGAACTAAATGCTCAATGTCTGGTAGATCATTAATTCTATTTGAATTAGCAAATAAATGCTAAATTTAATGAATTTACAGATACCAATAATTTATATAATTTTTAAATATTCTAAAAATTCTTGAGTCCATTACCATCTATTTTCAAACATCTAATAGGATTGGATCCAGCAAATGATTAAGGATCAAATTATCTTACTTTATTTTAATTTAAATCTAATTCCTTTAATTATTTTAAATTCTCTAAGAAATCAACTCTAATAATTTCATTTTTTTCACATTTCATAATTTTTAATTCTTTAAGTAAACAATATTATAATCCATTAAATTCTTTTAAACAATTTTAAGATATATCTAAAATTTATAATTATTAACATCCATTTAATCCTTTTTTTTAATTAATATCATTTGGATAAAGAAGAGTATCAATTTTATTTGATGCTAAAATTAAAATCTTTAATTAAGGTAAAAAACCTAACATTTTTGTAGAAGTAAATAAATTGTGACTCAAATCTAATTCAACAAGTTATGGAAATTATTAAACATTAAATACATCTTCAAAATCTCTTAATTCACAATTTTATAAACACAATTCTGTTATTTTATTAGCTGGTTATCCTTATAATCTAGAATACAGAATCTCTTCTGTCAATCTACCAGTATATAAATTTTTAGCCATCTATTATTCCTAAATTTCAATAGAAATACCATCTAAAACCTTAAGTTTTGGAATAATATAGAGAACATAAGCTCTATAATTAGTATCTCTAGCAAAAGGATTTCCAGAAAGATCTAAAATAATTAATTTTTGCAAATGTTTGATATTATTAATTTCCTTTTAATTTGTAATATTATTATTTCCTAAATATATTTCCATTAGACTTTTAAGATCTGGAAATTCTCTTAAATGAAGTATAGCATTGTCTTCCAATGATAATTACATCAAATTAATCAAATTTGAAATACCTTCTATTGTTGATATTTTATTTCCTCCTAATTCCAACTTCTTTAAATATTACATATTATCTAATTCTTAAATTTGTATAATTGAATTCTTCTCTAAATTTAATTCTTCCAATAGTACTGAATCTTATAATGAAGTAATTTATGTTATTTTATTATGTCCCAAATTTAAGTGTCTTAATTAAACTAAACCTTCCAAACCTTTCATACTACTTAATTTCTAATGAGTAATCATTACTGATTGAATATTTTATTTCCAATCCATTTAGACTTTACTAAATGATTGAAGCATGGCAGTTGTTATTAATTACTTTTAATTATTTGTTTTCTCTTTATCTTCATCAGTAACTGGTAAATGATCCAAATATAATAGATTATTTAAAACCATTACTATTTCTTTTCTTGTTTCTTTATATTCATTAATTGGATTAAAGACAACACATAAATATTTTAATGACTAATTATATTTAAGTAAAGCAATCTAATCAATATCTTAAATATTATTATGTGTTAAATCTAATACTTCCAAACTTTTCAAGTTTTACAATCCATTTAGATTACTTATTTCATTATGTGATAAATCTAATCTTACCAAATTTGGTAATTCATTCAAACCATTAATAGTACTTATTTTATTATAACTTAAAATTAGAGTATGAAATTATCCTTTTACAAATGTAATATCTTATACACAACAATTACTTAAATTCAAAAATTAAGTTTAATTCTTTAGAATTTCATTTAAATCTGGTGTGCCAACTAAATTTGGATTTAATTCATACAAAGTTGATCTACTAAGACAATATTAAAAATAATTTATTAAAGCTGGTTTTAAAGAAGCACATTCTGATCTATCTAAATCTTATGCTTTAAGTTCATAAGTAGGATATTCTTCTAAATTTTCAAATTAATAAGTATTTAAATCATCAGCCAATTAATTATATAAATCATTTATGCCTATCTTTTATAAATTTAAATTTGCAGGAGTAATGAAATCATCATCTTCTTATTCTAAAACACCTAATGCAGAACCAAAGTCAGCAATTTTATTTTATAATGGTGATTTCATTACATATTCAAATTCTGCAAAATATTCTGGTAAAACTAAATTGTTATCTAAAACAAACCATAATTTATGTTTTGGATCATTTTCCATTAATCTATAAACTGTATATTCATCTTAATATTATCTTCCATCAATTGATTATTTTTAAAACATTTCACTCCATGGTTGTTCAGGATTGAAATATGGATATTTTAAATCTGGAACAGACTTAATCATAAGAACTTTACAAATAAGTAAGACTCCTGGAGGTATTACATTATAATTTTATTATTATAATCTGACATATTTAATATAGATTACCTTTTTTTAATAAATTTTTTATTTAATTTTTATTTATGTTCCTATCCATTTAAAATATATTGAATTCTTGATGCATCTGCTCCT